CGTTTAGCACACAGTTTTCAGCACATTCAATGTGTCAACAAGAAGCGAACTGAGTGCATTTTTTCTTACTCCCTTATCAGGCTGAATGCAAATGATTCACCGTGAAGAGTGACCAATGATCATGCGACTGTTGCGCAATGTTGGCGGATCTTTAGGAGATTATCTCGCAACTACTTAGCAATGAGTGCAGAGGTGAATGTATTTATAATTTTTATTCAAAATCAGCGATATAAGAATTACGATTTAGTATAAGAATCAGTACGAGAAACATTGTAAATCATTATAAATAATAGTAAAATATATTTTTCTCACATTTGACTTGCTGGTTTCAAAAGCGGCATTATTCTGAATCGGCACAAATCGAGGTTTACCTGTAAAACTTGTCTATGCCATGACTGAGTCATTCTTGTCAAAATTCATTCTGCACACATTCTGAAACTTCTAAGTTGGTTGATAAGTCACATGTAATTAGGGCTTTTTGCTGTAACAGTTATGCTAGAATGCTTTTTTTCTAGATGTGAAGCACAGTCACAGATAAAACTCATCTGAAGTGAGTATTTTTGGTTTATTTTAGTTGGCACTTGAATGTGATAAAACTAGAGACACAGAAAATGAATTTCTGAAGCAACAAGAAAATTTTATACGTAGAACATGTGAACTTGAGGAAGGACTAAAAGGAAGAGAGAAAGCAACAGAGAAGAGTAAGTAATGATTTCTGAGACAAAATATGGATTGTAAGGGTATATTTTCAAGATTTATTCAGTTCATACACAAATTATTGCATAAGTAATGATTTCTTTATCATACAATTAAATAGAGGTTATGCTACACTGATAATTTGTAAAGGTCTTTGTTTATAGTAAACTTAAAATTCCATTAATTTAATTTGATGTTCATAATGAAAGATTACTTTGTTTAATAGAACAAAATTAAATTTTAAGAAATTAATAGAAACAGCTTCTCATATCAAAGAAATGTATGCAGTTTGACCCAAGGGATGTTGCAGTTTTTGAAGTTCTGGTATGGATCAGGTGGGTACTCTGCCGGAATCGGTCTCTGCATCACCCAGTCTGTGCTGTAACTGGTATGTGCAGGGACAGCCCGTTAGAGATAGGGTCATACAGAGACCAGATCTTGCTGAGACTGAATGCATCTGAGACAGTGTACATCAAAGACGGTGTCCGGCGGAGACTGTTTCTGACGGGGATAGGGTGGGGAGAATTTTAACAAAATTTCAATTTTTTTAAGATATCCAAAAAATCAATTATACCGGAAATTGACAAAAAAGCGCAGAAAGCAGAAAACTTTTGAAAAAGTTTAACTTCAAAAAATTCGAAAAATTTTGGTTTTGTGTGCATTTCAGAGAATTTCCAGCATTTTTTGATTTTTCGAAAATTTTGAATATTTTTTCTAAAGTCACCAAGAGATGCCTGCCAAACTCGATGAATGCCTCGCCCTGTCTCTGCCGGACTCGGCCTCTATCTCACTCGGTTTCTGCCTGCCTCGGTGTTTGCTCCAACTGGCCTCTGCAGGACTCGGTCTCTGCCGGTCACGGTCTGCCTTATGTGCTGTCTGCCGCACCAATGCTCAGAGACCGCACATCAGAGCCGTGTCATACAGAGGCCGATCCGTGCAAAGTCTGAGTCAGGCACAGTCCGCATTCGTCAGACAGTACATCAGAAACAGAACGAGAGAGACCGGTTATGCATGGCATAAGGTGGGGAAATTTTGAAAATTTTCAAAAAATGCTGGAAATTGTCCAAAAAGCGCACAAAATCAAACAAATTTGAAAAATTTCACATTCAAATTTTTTCAAAAATTTTCAAAAATTTTAGTGTTCTGCGCTTTTCAGACAATTTCCAGCGAGAAGTCGCATGTCTCAAGTCGATAGATTTCGCATGTCCCAAGTCGCGAGAAGTCGCATGTCCCAATTCGTTAGATATCCGAAGTCGCATGTCCCAATTTTGGTTTTGTGCGCTTTTCAGACAATTCCCAGCATTTTTTGATTTTTCGAAAATTTTGAAAAATTTGAATTTTTCTTCTAAAATCTCACCAAGAGATGCCTGACAAACTCGGTGAATGCCTCTCCTTGTCTCTGCCTCTATCTCACCCGGTTGCGGCCTACCTCGGTGTCTGCACCAACCGCCTTTTGCAGGTAGCGCCCTTTGTCGGTGAGGGTCTGTCTTACGTGTTGTCTGCCGCACCTGGGCTCCTCAGAGACGTGTCATACAGAGACCGGGCCGTGCAGAGACCGAGTCATGCACAGACCGCATTCGTCAGACACGCTACATCAGAAACAATCCGACAGAGACCGATAGTGCAAGGCATCAGGTGGTGGAATTTTGAAAAATTTGAATTTTTTTTCAAAAATGCCAAACTCGGTGAATGCCTCTTCCTGTCTCTGCCGGCCTCGGCCTCTTATCTCACCCGGTTGCTGCCTGCCTCGGTGTCAGCACCAACCGGCTTTTGCAGGTCGCGCCCTTCGTCGGTGAGGGTGTCTTACGTGTTGACTCCCGCACCTGGGCTCCTCAGAGACGTGTCATACAAACCGGGCCGTGCAGAGACCGAGTCATGCACAGCCGCATTCTTCAGACAGTACATCAGAGACAGCCCGAGTGAGACCGATAGTGCAAGGCATCAGGTGGGGGAATTTTGAAAAATTTCAAAAAATGAGAAAATGCGGGAAATTGTCCAAAAAGCGCACAAAACCAAAATGTTTTGTAAAATTTCACATTTATTTTTTTTGTTAATTTTCAAAAAATTTTGGTTTTGTGCGCTTTTCAGACAATTTTCAGCATTTTTTGATTTTTCAAAGATTTTGAAAAATTTGAATTTTTTTTTCTAAAATCTCCCCATGAGATGCCTGCCAAACTCGGTGAATGCCTCTCCCTGTCTCTGCCGGACTCGGCCTCTATCTAACCCGGTTCCTGCATGCCTCGGTGTCTGCACCCACCACCTTTTGCAGGTCGCGCCCTTCGTCGGTGATGGTCTGTCTTACGTTTTGAGTGCCGCACATGGGCTCCTCAGAGACGTGTCATACAGAAACCGGGCCGTTCAGAGACCGAGTCATGCACAGACCGCATTCGTCAGACACAGTACATCAGAGACAGTCCGAGTGAGACCGAGTGCCAGGCATCAGGTGGGGGAATTTTGAAAATTTTCGAAAAACCAAAAAATGCTGGAAATTGTCCAAAACGCGCACAAAACAAGAAATTTTTGAAAAATTCCAACTTCAAATTCTTTTTCAAAATTTTTAAAAAAATTTGGTTTTGTGCCCAATTCGTTAGATATCCGAAGTCGAATGTCCCAATTTTGGTTTTGTGCGCTTTTCAGACAATTCCCAGCATTTTTTGATTTTTCGAAAATTTTCAAAATTCTCCCTACGTGTTGCCTTGCAGAACCGGTCTCTGTCGGACTCTTACTGAAGAACTGTGTCTCTCACGAACGCGGCCTTGCCTCACACGCTCCTCTACGTGCCGTCTCTGAAGAGCCCAGGTGCTGCAGACAACACGTAAGGCGGAGGCCGAGACGGACAGAGACACTTTTGTTTACATGCCGAGTCATGCAGAGGCCTGTAGCTGCAGACACCGAGGCAGACAACCGGGTGAGATAGAGGCCGAGTCCGGCAGACACAGGACGAGGCATTCAAAGAGGCCGGCATGCATCGCTTGAGGAGAGTTTTGAAAAAAGTTCAAAATTTTCAAAAAATTTGGTTTTGTGCCCAATTCGTTAGATATCCGAAGTCGAATGTCCCAATTTTGGTTTTGTGCGCTTTTCAGACAATTCCCAGCATTTTTTGATTTTTCGAAAATTTTCAAAATTCTCCCTACGTGTTGCCTTGCAGAACCGGTCTCTGTCGGACTCTTACTGAAGAACTGTGTCTCTCACGAACGCGGCCTTGCCTCACACGCTCCTCTACGTGCCGTCTCTGAAGAGCCCAGGTGCTGCAGACAACACGTAAGGCGGAGGCCGAGACGGACAGAGACACTTTTGTTTACATGCCGAGTCATGCAGAGGCCTGTAGCTGCAGACACCGAGGCAGACAACCGGGTGAGATAGAGGCCGAGTCCGGCAGACACAGGACGAGGCATTCAAAGAGGCCGGCATGCATCGCTTGAGGAGAGTTTTGAAAAAAGTTCAAAATTTTCAAAAAATTTGGTTTTGTGCCCAATTCGTTAGATATCCGAAGTCGAATGTCCCAATTTTGGTTTTGTGCGCTTTTCAGACAATTCCCAGCATTTTTTGATTTTTCGAAAATTTTCAAAATTCTCCCTACGTGTTGCCTTGCAGAACCGGTCTCTGTCGGACTCTTACTGAAGAACTGTGTCTCTCACGAACGCGGCCTTGCCTCACACGCTCCTCTACGTGCCGTCTCTGAAGAGCCCAGGTGCTGCAGACAACACGTAAGGCGGAGGCCGAGACGGACAGAGACACTTTTGTTTACATGCCGAGTCATGCAGAGGCCTGTAGCTGCAGACACCGAGGCAGACAACCGGGTGAGATAGAGGCCGAGTCCGGCAGACACAGGACGAGGCATTCAAAGAGGCCGGCATGCATCGCTTGAGGAGAGTTTTGAAAAAAGTTCAAAATTTTCAAAAAATTTGGTTTTGTGCCCAATTCGTTAGATATCCGAAGTCGAATGTCCCAATTTTGGTTTTGTGCGCTTTTCAGACAATTCCCAGCATTTTTTGATTTTTCGAAAATTTTCAAAATTCTCCCTACGTGTTGCCTTGCAGAACCGGTCTCTGTCGGACTCTTACTGAAGAACTGTGTCTCTCACGAACGCGGCCTTGCCTCACACGCTCCTCTACGTGCCGTCTCTGAAGAGCCCAGGTGCTGCAGACAACACGTAAGGCGGAGGCCGAGACGGACAGAGACACTTTTGTTTACATGCCGAGTCATGCAGAGGCCTGTAGCTGCAGACACCGAGGCAGACAACCGGGTGAGATAGAGGCCGAGTCCGGCAGACACAGGACGAGGCATTCAAAGAGGCCGGCATGCATCGCTTGAGGAGAGTTTTGAAAAAAGTTCAAAATTTTCAAAAAATTTGGTTTTGTGCCCAATTCGTTAGATATCCGAAGTCGAATGTCCCAATTTTGGTTTTGTGCGCTTTTCAGACAATTTCCAGCATTTTTGATTTTTTGAAAATTTTTAAATTTTTTCAAAACTCTTCTCAAGCAATGCATGCCAGCCTCTTTGAATGCCTC